TTATGTGTGGTAGTAATTGTTTTAATTATGTTGTTGTATTCAGTTAGTGTTTGTTAAACTTAATTTTGGAATCTTAGGAAGGTTTATGATTTAGCTAACTTGTCACTTAAAACTGCATGTTTAAAATTTTCAATTTACTATAAGTTATTTTTCTTTATGTTGCAGTCATGTATGTTTGTTAGCATGTTTATTTGCTTTTATGTTATACTCCACTGCATAGAAGTTTGATGAATCTCTGTATTTTAAGTAAATTAAAATTTGATCAATTTAAAATTTTTACTCCTATTTTTAATTTTTGTAATATGATGCTAAAATGTTTTATTTTTATTAATAATTTAAGTTTGTGGGGATGAAAAATTTTAAAGAAACTTGAAAGTTTATTTGTTCTTAAATGTATTTAAGATAAAATTTGATTTTGATTTGATAATTGATTATGTATATGAAGTTATATTAGGGAAGTACAATTTTGATTTTAGAAATGAGTAAGAGAATTTAGTTAAAATCTATAGTAATGAAGAAAAACTTTAAGTTAATTTTTTTTTAGTGTGAAAAATGCTAAATATAGTGTAACTATCTTTAGTAGAAAAAAATATATTTTTGAAAAATTTAGAAATTTAGACCTTTTATTTTAAAAACTTAAGTTTATTTTATTGAAATTAATTTTAAAAACTATTATTATGTTCTTAAGTGAAATAAAAATATCAACGCTTTGCTTTAGGAAATGAAGAGTGGAATTCAAAACTATTAAAGACCTATCTATATATAGCAGTCCTTGCCTAAAAAGGAAAGGAAAAAGAAAAAAATATAAAGAAAAAGAAAAAGAAAAACTTGAAAGAGGGAGGAGAAGCTTGAGGATTAGTGCCTAATCAAAAATTGGTTCCACATATGATCTTTTTAAAGTATAAGACTTGAGAAACTCTTAAGCTTAAGGATATAACATAGTGAGTAAAATTATGCTTAATAAAAATTTTTAAGTGAAGATGATAAAATGACTAAACTCTATATTTGAAAAATCTACAATATTTTTGAATTAAATAGGAACTCATATTTTCATTTTTCTTAACATTAAAAATTTCTAAACTTTAAGTTGGTCTCATTTACTAATATTTTTCTAAATGTACTATATTTCTACATCAATACTATATTTCTACATCAAAATTTTGGTAACTCCTAAAGAAACTCATATACATTATCTACTTATGTTGATTTTTAAAGGTTAAAAAGCCACTTGAGGACAAGTAACATCTTAAGTTTGGGGGATTTTGATAAACCTAAAATAAATAATCTTTTTATACACATTTTTATACCTACTTTTGAGATATTGCACTTTAATGAAAGGTATTTGTGTGTTTTCTTGTAGGTATAATCAAATGGATGAAAATTGCTAAAAGGAGTGAAAAAGGGTCAAATTTGGAGCAAAATGAAGAAAAATGCAAAATGAACTAGGGCGCCTAAGCGCGAGAGGCTCCGCGCCTAAGCGCCAGGTACCCCGCGCTTAAGCGCCGGAAGTAGTTACTTGATGAATTATTTAATTTGAGTGGATTTTTGAAGAGGTGTTTGAAGCAACTCTTGATAAAAACATGGGAAATAGCCCATGGACACGAAAATTTATTTAATTGACTTATGAGGAGGCAACTTCTAGAAGATTCATTGAATAGAGACACCTTTTTGAAGAGACACCAAGCCACCCCTTGGACTTTTATAAGAAAATACTTAGATTTTCCAGGAGAAGGGGGCCAATCATCCATCAAACTTTAAAGTCCGCCGCCGCCGATGACCACCTTTATTTTATTTTATTTTATTTTGAGTGTTAATTTTTATTGTGAGAAAAGGAAGAGAATTCAAAGGAACTTCAAAGCATTTGATGGAGAGAATTTAAGATAAGTGTTTATCTTTGTGTCTACATTTGGTTTTAATTTAGATTTCTTGTTTGTGTACATGCTTTTTACTTTTAAACTCATGTGTGGTTGTGTTTTCTCCATGGATTCTAAGTAGTTTTCTTTGTCTTTTTCTTTCAAATGATAAGTGATTAAATATTTAAAGGAAGTTGTGTGAAGTCTTATACTTCAATGTTACAAGAATTTG